ATTTCAGGTAGCTTGGCACTGAGTAATTGAACATTAAAAAATCGAGTTTGTAGACTTCGTACAGCTGCGTTTGGTGCTCCGAGCTGATGTTCTGGAAGAACTCCGTGGTCATTTCGTCAGTAGTTCTTGTGGACTTGGCGTAGGTGGGGAACTTCAGGTAGCTGCCCACCCCCGCCAGCTGCAGGACGTAATTGGAATCCTCCTCCAGCGTCTCGTACTTGCCCACGAGGTCGTAGTGGATGTGGCACGGGTGGCAGAGGGAGTAGACGGTCTGCCAGTGCTCGTTGAAGGGCTCCTCGCGCTGGGTGTGCGGGTCGATGAGATAGGCCACGAACTCCTCGAACTTGACGTCGTCGCCCTTGCGCAGGGCCTCCTGCGTGGCGTTCTTGCGCTGCCGCTTGATGATCTTGGTGCCGTAGCGCTTGTGGAAGGACGTGTTGTACTTCTGCGTGAACTTGTTGCGGTAGGCGGACACCAGCCGCTCGAAGGGCTCGCGGACGAACAGGAACTTCATGTAGCTTTTCAAGCGGTGGTTGATCTCGGGGATGCTGTACTGGTTGAGGGTCTTCAGGTTGGCCGAGACGTGCGCCTCGTTGGCCGGGATCTCCATGGGGTCGCTGTACTTGCCCCGCCCGGTCAGGACCATCATGAGGCGCTTCCAGTTGGTGCAGGCCACCTTGGGCACGTAGCAGTAGATGAGCTCGTGGTCCTCGTCCACCACCAGGTGTTTCAGGTCGTTGGGCGTCAGCACCCGCCGCTTGCGGCTCATGGCGCTGTTGGCCCGGCAGGTGTCGGTGACCTGGTCCCGGCGCATCTGGTGCAGGACCGCGCTGTTGGACAGCTCCAGCTGCAGAGGGGACACAAGGGGGAGGAGAATTCAGTACTCGGGCGGGATGTTTGCACTTGGCCACAGGCATCGCCGTGACGGCCGGAGCAGGCCACTGAGACAGCCAGCGGACCACTAAGTGGCCTACGTCTCCATCCCTTATTCTTGCTCTTGGTTCCACCATCCTTCCTTTGTGGAATAATATAATGATCAACTCTATAACGTATGCATCACCCTCTACGTGCCTGGCATTTGCTACAGCTACATAAATACAGTTTTTCTTTTTTAAATATATTTTTATTGATTTTAGAGAGGGGAAGGGAGAGAGAGAGGGAGACTGAAACATCAAAAATGAGAGAATCATTGATCAGCTGCCTCCTGCACGCCCCCTACTGGGGATCGAGCCCGAAACCCAGGCATATGCCCTTGACTGGAATCAAACCTGGACCCTTCAGTCCGCAGGCTGACACTCTATCCACTGAACCAAACCGGCTAGGGCTATACAGTTTTTCTTTTCACTGTACAACAAATTTGAACCGTTGTTGATTTATTTAGTATCACCAAGTACCTGCCATTGTGCCAGGCATCATGCTGCCAGGCACTGCAGATGCAGTAATAAAACAGTACAATGAGGTAACTGCCCCTTTGAGTTTCCAGTCTCGCTGGGAAGAAACTGGAAAGGGAGGCTCAGAGAGGTTAAGTTACTAGCTTGAGATCACACAGTGAGCAACACACAGTCAGTATTCAACTCAGGTCTGCCTGGCAAACAAACCCACCCGCTTTCTACTCCAGCACCCCATCTTCTTGAAAGCAAGCAAGCACGGAGGGCTGACATTTGATTGCTCTATTTTGATGCAAGGGGGGTGGGGGGGACTGTTCCTACAAGCCCGTCACTGTGGACATCTGTTGCTTGTTGCTTCCTCTGGCACCAGGGCCTCGATTTTCCTCGGGGAACCTGTTCTCCATTCTCAGTTCCCTTCTCTCTCAAGCTGCCGAGCTGTGTGGATGGCCCCTGAAGCATGGGGACAGGGAGGGGCTGGGCTGGGAAGGAAGGGTGCAGAGCAGAAAGACACAGGGATGTATCAGGGTGACATCATCTGAATACCTAGGTCTGTACGTGGCTGAAACCAGACCCCTGACTCCTGGGCTTTTGTTACATTAGTTAATACATTTGCTTTGCTGTGTGAAGCAGCTGGAGTCTGGATGATATTATTTGCAACCAGAACATTTGGGTATTTGCACGTGTTGCCTTTGAGCTTGTCGTTTATGCCATATTCATCTATCCAGTCAGATGTGTGCAGATCTAACAGTGTACAAGGCCCTCACTCTATTCTGCTCCGCTGGGAGATCCGACCTTTTCCTAAAGGGCTCACAGGCTAGGAGGCACCAGGCCAGAGCTGGCAGCCTGCATCGGGCCAGAGGGAAGATGTGTGTGCTCCTCTACATTCTAGGAGCAAAAGTTTCTCCCCAAAAGGCCATTCACTTCCAGGCGGAACCAGTTCTCATGAACCACCTAGAACAGCGGTTCTCAACTTGTGGGTTGCAACCCCGTTGGGGGTCGAATGACCCTTTCACAGGGGTCGCCTAAGACCATCAGAAAACACATATATAATTACATATTGTTTTTGTGATTAATCACTATGCTTTAATTATGTTCAATTTGTAACAATGAAAATACATCCTGCATATCAGATATTTACATTACGATTCATAACAGTAGCAAAATTACAGTTATGAAGTAGCAACAAAAATAATTTTATGGTTGGGGGTCACCACAACATGAGGAACTGTATTAAAGGGTCGCGGCATTAGGAAGGTTGAGAACCACTGACCTAGAATAAGAGACAGGAGACCAGATCACCTTGGTGCGCCTGCATCTTGGCCTCCAACACCCTATTGTTGCAGGCCAGCCCTAGGTCATGGAATTCACTATTTATTTTGAACAGGAAAGCGATGACTTTTGCATACCCTGACTTCTTAGCGGATCTATCCCTCACCTTAAGAAGAACGTTCATGCCATTAAAAACAAAACAACAGATTGTCCTAAAGGAAAATAGAAGGACCAGGAAGGAAAAGGGGGCATCAATTTTGCCCGTTTGAATCGCTATGGACAGTTTTGAAGGCAATAAATTATTAAAAGAGCCGAGAAACGGGGACTCAGCACGCCTCCCACCTCCGCCGCCCTTTTCCCAGCTCTTTTCAGATGGAGACAATTCTCGGTGCCTTCTGCGTCCCCAGGGAGGGAGCATGTCAGTTAATACTGCATTCAGGACCACAAAGCCGTGAAAAATAGAAACGATAGCAGCGTATCGCTTTACGTCCAATTGTAGAGACAGAAAATAACTCAGTGGGGCTTTGCCATGTGGTATCTGAGGTTTCTTTCTCTCCCATTTCCTTCTTCTCCGCGCCAGCTGGCGTGGCGAATGGCACACCTGTAGCAGCGAGTCCCTGAGGACTCGGAGGCCAGAGTCAAAGAGAACCAGCGCCTTCTCAATCGAGAGACACAGCCAGGCCCCTTCTAGGAGGAGGAAGTCCACCTGGGCCTCCAGTGTTGAATTGTTAGACAAACTATTTTTAAAAAATATATATTTTATTGAATTTTTACAGAGAGGAAGGGAGAGGAATGTAGAGTTAGAAACATGGATGAGAGAGAAACATTGATCAGCCGCCTCCTGTACACTCCCTACTGGGTATGTGCCCGCAACCAAGGTACATGCCCTTGACCGGAATTGAACCTGGGACCTTTGAGTCCACAGGTAAACGCTCTATCCACTGAGCCAAACTGGTTAGGGCAGACAAACTATTTTCTAGAACTTCTTATTTTAAAATAAATACAGACGGGTGTTGGTTTAACTTATTAAAAATACAATGTTACTTAAAATATGCACAAATATAATATGCACACGTAGGTATATGTGGCCCAAACAAATGTGAACACTGAAATGGACAATATTAACTGATGGACGATGTTGTTTTACTGGAACCGAAGTCCTGTCGGAAGCGTGTGGGGTGCTCGCTGTCTGCTGGGGCAGGCTCCCGGCCAGCTGATATCCATTCCCCTGTGCGCACGAGGACTCAATTTCCCCACCACTTCTCATTTCTAGTTACTGTAAAACCCAGCCCCCTGTAACACCACAAGATCTTTACTCGCTACAGATTCATCATGTATCTACTTTCTGTCTCTGCCCATTTCTAATTACCCCAACAGCGATTTTTAACCTTTTTTCATTCATGGCACACATAAACTAATTACTAACATTCCACGGCACACCAAGAAATAGATTTTTTGCTGACCCGACCAAAAAATAGGTATAATTTTGATTCATCCACACTGGATGGCTATTGTTATGTTGCCTGTTGTCATTTTTTTTTTTACTTGACAATCTAAGAGAAAAGAGGTCAGTGCCCTGACTAAATAGTCAGGTGTTGTGTGTTGTAAAAATTATTACGGCACACGGGTTGAAAACCACAGGCAAACAGCAATTTCTAACCTTAAAAACGTGCAAATCTGGCCCTGTCACTTCCACACTGGTCCCCAAGAAGGGCTCACAGGAGCTCCAGTAACAGGAATAACTCCAGCAACGGACAAGTTCTCTGTGTATCACCCACAGGGATGGGGCGACAAGAAGACAAGGGCATGAAGAGGACTCGCTGATGAGCAGTTTGCTCCCTTGTCACTGAAAGAGAACACCTGTCTTTCCCAGCCATGTTTTATCAGTTCCACTCAGCAGAGGTTTGTTGATCTGGTAACTCTCTGAGCTGTGAGAGGAATCTCTTCCTCTTTCACTCCCTTTCCTTCTCCTCTTTTTTTTTTTTTTCTTCCTAAAGGTATTTGAAGCCAGCATGAAGGACATAGATGCAGAATAAAACTGAAATAGAATAAAAAATCAAATATACTAACTACACAGGCTGTGATTAAAGACCTCCCTCGGTTGTGGGCTTCCTAGTAGCAAGGGCAAGAAGGGAAATGTGATTTAATCTTGTTTTTGTGCTCAGAAAGGAGCAGCATTCCAAATGCTTGGGGCAGAAAATGGACAAGATTTTAAGCGACTCAGAAAGTTCAGTCAGCGAGGGAGGTGCTTGGATTCCATTTTCTCACTTTGGAGTATTCAGAGGGTTGCTTGCCCCAGCTGACTGAATACCAATGTTACTATTCACTGCCGCCTAAAGTCCACAGAACGTTCCAGCATTTACAGAACACTTTCGTGTACGCCATCTCATTAAAGAACCCACTGGAACTTCTCCAGAGCCTGCTAAAAGAAGGTTTATATTTAACACACCAGACCATGTTTCCAACCACATGTCATTTTTGGGGGGCTGGCTACCGCCAAGTATTAATACTTCATGTTAGTGGTTCTCAACCACCAGCACACGTGGACATCACCTGCAGGGCTTGTGAAGATGCAGTTCCTGATTTGGTAGGTCAGGGATAGGCCTGAGAATCGACATTTCTAGCAAGTTCCCGAGTGTGGAAATTTGCTCGGGCTCCCATAACAGAATACCACACACACACTGGGTGGACGGCACAGCAGGAACTTATTTCTCACAGTCCTGGAGGTGTGGGCAGGGGTGGCCTCTCTCCTTGCCTTGCACATGTCCGCCTTCTTGTTGCCTGGCTGTCCCTTCCTCTTCTGACAAGGACACCAGTCCTACTGGATTAGGGTCCGCCCTAAATGGACTCAACTTAATCACCCCTTTAAAGGCCCTGTCTCCAAATCCAGTTACATTAGAAGAGCCTGGGGGACGGGACTTCAACATGTGAATCTGGAGTTGCGGGGAGCTCCTCCCACCAGGGGAGGCGGAGGCTGCTGGCCCGGGACCCCACGTTGAGAATCACGGCGCTGCACTGTGAGGAAAGGACTGTGATGTGACATCCCTCACCCATTCGTAGCTCTTCCTAATTACAGAACACGGAACCCGGGTTCGTCGTCCACAGCCAAGAGCGTCCCAGATCTGCCTTCAGTTCCAGCCCCGATCCCCCCGCCTCCCTTTCATCTCCCGAAAGTATAAATTAGGCCAGA